TTATGTAAGTAATTAATAGTATTAATTTATAAATTTTAATATTAAAAATAAGATTTATATAAATACTAGAAATTAGTATTAGAATTAATTATTTTAAAGATTATTAAAAACTAGTATAATTTAATAATTATTATTAAAAAGATTAATCATATATTCTAAGTTCTATTATCTAATAGTATAAAAATCTATTTTATTTTTTATTTTAATAAACTCCAATTTCAGATTACTTTAGAACTACTATCTAGATAGATCTTAGACTAGACCTTTTCTAATTAAAATTAATAATTATACTAAATGGAAGGTAGAATAGATCTTAAAAATTATTTATAAATAAGAACTTTATAATACTATATTAAATAAGTAAACTTTAATAAGAATATCTATATAATACCCTACTAATAAATTTAAGAATATATTTTTTATTAATATAACTTTTATATCTATTACCCAAACCGCTCTAAACTATCTAAATAACTCTTTATATGGATTATTATAGTAAAGAATAATAAATTTATTATAAATTATAAAGATAATAATATTGCCCTGATCAAGGATAGTTAAATCTAAATAAAGAAATGATATAATAGTAACTCTGTCTAAAAATATAGAATTATATTTATTTTATTATTATTTATTATTATTCTTTTAAGCAAATATCTATAATATTTTATATTTTTCTTTTTCCCTTCTTATACTTAAAGTTCTAGAGTAGTTAGCACCAATATGACCTTCTGTTATATTAAACGGCCGTCTCAACTAGGACTTCTATAAAATCTTTTTTTATATAACTTATAATATTCTAGCACGTAGGAGTCCAGATAAAAAATATTCTTTTTAAATAAATTATATAAAAAGAGTGGTAAATCTTGACAAATTATAAATAAAATGATAATAAAAATTACTATACTCTAGAAAAACTTACATATTTATTATATATACTGGGGTAGACTATTTAATAATAATCTTAGTTTTTTAGATTTATATGGAATTTATTACTGTCTATAATTAAAGTTAAGTACTTGGTCTTAAGAATAATAAACTTATATTTTAATATTTTAGTAAAGAGTCCAATCTTATTTAATTTTATAAGAACTAACTAGATATACTCTATATACTCTATTTAAATATAATTATAGATTAGAATATTATCCAGGTACATTATATAGAGGATATAAAATAATTCTAAAGTATATTATTAATATAGTATTAAAAGATAGCTAGAATTTTTATTAGCCTAAAGAATATTTATTCCCCTATACTTGATAATTCTAAAATAATGAAATTAGTATACTACTACATGAAGAAATCGCCTAATCTTGATATTATACTTGCTATAGATTATATAAAAAAGATTAAGATTTATATAAATATAGCTTATATAGATTATAAAAATAATAAATTTATTAAAAATTATATTATATTCTATACTGGCAGCCTAATTTTATAAACTTTAAATAAGTAAGATATTATGGTATTTTTATCTACTATTACTAAATACTATATATATAATTCAGCTGTAAAAGAGGCTCTGTATATTAAAAAACTAGTCCTTATATTTAATTTAAAGATATTAGATAATAATAAAATACTTATATTTAATAATATAACTAATTTATTAAGAATATTAAACTACAGTATCTATATAAGGTCTATAAGATAGCTAGATAATTGTTTCCTGTTTATCGCGGATCTCATTAAAAAGAACCTAATTAAGATAATCTATATACCCAGAGTAGTTAATCTTATAGATAGATTTACTAAGCCATTAGATCCAGAGGCATTCATTACTTTTAGGGATCTGCTAAGAATAAAGCAGTATCCTATGATTAAGAGATTAGGAACTACTGTAACGGGTAAGAATGCTTAATATAATAATAATAATTTCTTATTTAAGTGTTTATTTTGGTTTTATGTTTAACCTGATATAGACCCTTCCTTGCCTAAGGGGCTGTGTTGAGGTACCTAATTGGCTTGTAGGTGAGGATCACGTGTTCTAATCATGTTAGCCACCACCAAGGCATTCTTCTTCTTCTTTCTGGCCGTAGCCTAGATAGCGAATACAACCAACATCTTCAACTCCCTGAGCTATAGCTCACAACATATATTAAATAAATACGTGCTAAGATATTATATAAAATATAGATCTTAATTAAATAAATAAATATATTATTATACTAGTAGCAATACAAGCTAGTAAATTAAATAATATATTTAATAAGAATTATTTAAGGATTATAAGTCTTCAGCTAAAATAAGCTAAATATAATTAAAAAATAAACTAATTAAATTAATTAAAAAATTTTTTTTTATATAGTTATAAATCTTTATAATTACATAAATATAATAGATAATTATTTTTACCTCACTCTCTCAGCTGTTAAATCCTATTATAAACTTTAAATATAAAAATAAATAAATATAAATTTCTATTTAATTCTTATTTATAATACGTAATATTGAACAGTCAGTCTTAAATATTATATATATAATAATCGTTTAATTATCAAGGTTTAATATAATAAATATAATTATTAAATTAGTTTTCTAGAGCTCTTCTTTAATAAAATATTTTTTAATAATAATATTAGAGAGAGTGTAAATATACAGAATAATATTTTTCTAATAACAATTTAAATTAGGTATAATTCTTTTAATTATTTACTAAAATTAAAAAAGTATAATTATTCTAGTAACTATATTACTCTTAATTATATAAGTAATATAGAAGATCTTAAATCAAATAAATTAAAGATTCTTTTATTAAGGATTCAGCCTGCGCAAGCAGTAATTAGTAATAAATAAATAAAAATATATTATAAGTATAGATAAGATATATAATTAATTTATTAGATTAAAATCTCAGATTTAAAATAATTATAGATTAAATATTAATAAAAATTATAATAAAAATATTCTTTTTCCAAGTGGTTCTAAAGCATAGAGAAAAATGATAAATAAATAATAAATCTATAAAATTATAATCTAGAATAATTAGTTTTTAATTAAAAATCTTTATAGAAGATTTCTACAGGACTTCTCTAGCAATTATAAATATAATATATTAAAAATTAATTAGTCTCTAAAGATAGCTCTAGAAATTAGATTTATATTTTAATTAATAATTATCTCAATTTTATAGAAACTAAGTTAGATTATAATAATCTTTCTATAGAGATATATTATTTAAAAATATAATATTAAATTCTTAACTAATATTGTCCTTAAGAATAGTTATTAGAAAATTAAAAAATAAATAAATTCATAAATAAATTTTTTAAATTTAATAAAATATATAATTAATTTATAATTTTTCTATGAGAAATAATATAATTCCCACCGGACATTACAGGCGTGGTTAAGATTTTTAAAAATATATTTTAGGTATATTTAAAATATCTATAAAATTATTTAAGGTATAACTGATATATTTTATAAAAAAATAAGTTTAAATATAAAAAATCTTAGTTAATTAATTATATAAGCTTTATAAGTAGAGACAATAGTATAATAATTATAATTAATATTTATTTTTACTTTAATCTAGAAGATAAAGTAGTTTAAATCTAAATAATTCCTTTTAAACTTATTAAGATTAGATAATTATTTAGAGAGAAAAATAAAGATATAAAATTTAAGATTAATTAATATAAGTATTTGTATTAAAAAATGCTATAGGTTTTTTAGTTATAAGTTTTAAAATAAAAATAAGAATATTAATTATTAATGTAGTAACTTATATGATTTTAATTTATTTAACTAGAGTTTAATTTTTTTAATAATAATTCTCTTTGTAGCTAGAATACTAATTAATTAATAATTAATTTTTATAATCTACTAGGCCTAATATATAGTTATTATATTTTAAATATTAAGATTTTATTATAAGTAGTTTTATTTGCTAGTAACCCCCATAGTAAAAATAAAGATTTATTTATAATAGTTATACTATGTTTCAAAAATATATTAAATTAATTTATTTAGTTTGTTAGAATTATTTAAAGATTATAAAATAATAATTATTTTATAAGTCTACTATCTTAAAAAAAGCTACATAATATTAAAATATAAGTAAATAAAAATAATATAATAGTACATTCTAGCAGGGAGGCAGGATTTAAATAAAAATAATAATTAGGATTTTAATTAGATACTAAGCTAGCTACTGGTTAAGTTATATATAGATTAATAAACAAAATATAGTTAATGATTACAGACAGGGTTTAGAGGACAGATGGTTTAAAACTTGTCTGGGGTCACGTGCTGGTAGTAAGACTCAGTAGTATTTCTCTCTTTCTAGCTTAGGAGGTTGCACTGTGACATTAGTAGTACAGTTTTAAAACTAATCTATTTATGTAATAGTATAGGTTCAAATTAATCCGTTTAGCTAAACAGTACAGTTTATAAAACTTAATAAAATTATATTGAAAATATTATAATTCCGGAAACTAACCTAACAAAAAACCAAACAAGGCCATCACTAATATAGAAAATATTTATTATTATTATTAATCTATAAGAAAGGATACATACTTTTAGATAATATTATATAAAGAATGATAAAAATCTGTAACTAGATAGTAATTTTATTTTATTATCAATCATTAAATTCTAGGATCTATATATCATTTTATTGATATAAAATTATTAATAATATATAATATGTTATTAATTCTTTTTTACTAGGTAATTCACTAAAGGAACTTCGAATTTAAATAGAAATATATATTATTATTATAACCTCTAAAAATATTCAGTTATCTAAGAAAGAACCTTATAATTTACTATTAAATTTTAATAATCTTAGAATATTTTTTAATGAATATTCTTTAATAATTTTTTTTTAAGTTCTGTGGACTATAGTATGAGTTTTTAATCTAATACAATATTTTTATTTAATTTTATATATTGTTTGAAAGACTGAACTTGAGATCCTATAAAATCATATTATTAAAATTTAAAATTAAATTAAATATAATTTTTTAAAAGCCCAGTAGAGACCTGTATTTTTATATTTAAAAAATAATAATTTATATTTCTATGTAAATTATAAATATTTGAATAACATTTTAATTAAAATTTATTATTTATCATTTTTTAATTTAAAGATTCTTGATAGAGTTTTAAAAATTAAATCTTTTTTAAAAATGAATATTAAAAATACTTACTATTAAATTTATATTGAAGAAAAGAACATTTAGAAAATACTATTTTATATCTAATATAGTTAATTTAAATATATAATTATATTATTTAAATAAACTAATCCACTAATAATGTTTTTAAAATTATATATATAGTAATGTTTCGATTTTTCAAAGTTTTTATATAATATATTTAAATAAATTTTTATCTTTTTACTAGATAAGAAAGCTTATAGAAAACATATTTATTAGATATTAAAAAGACTTTAAAAATTGAATGTTATATAAAATTATTAGAATACTTATTCTATTAATTCTGAACTAAATTTCCAGAATATATTATTAATATTAATAATATATTTATAAATCTTTAATAAGTAAATTATATTATTTTATTATTATTATTTGGGAATTATCATTATTTGGAAATTGTTATAATTTTTAAATTTTTTAAAGGTTCTATATTTTCTACTAATAATTTATCTAGAATTATTTTTATATTATAGTATTTTTTTTTCTACTTTATAGTAGTCAATGGATGCTAGAAAACGTCTATTAAAATTTATATAAATAAATAAATTTTTATTATTTAATTATTATTCTCTAATAAATATTTATTTAAGACGGCCATTCAACACAACAAAATAAGGTCGTATTGGTGCTAACTACCCTAGAACTTTAAGCATAAGGAAGAAAAAAGACAAATAAAAAAATTATAAACACTCACTTAAAGAAAATAATAAAAAAAGTAAATAAAATAAATATAATTATATAATTTTAAATAGAATTATTATTATATCATCCCTTTATTTTAGCCTGACTATTCTTAATTAAAGAAATATTATTATCTTTATAATTTATAGTAAATGTATTATTCTCTATTATAGTAATCTATATAAAGAATTATTTAAGTAGCCTAGAGCGGTTCGGATAGTGAATATAAGAATTATATAAATAAGAAAATATATTCTTAAGATTACTAACAGGATATTATATATAATTATTTTTATTAAAATTCATCTCTTTAGTATCGTACTAAAAAATTCCTATTTATAAAAAAAATATTTTAAGATTTATTATACCACTTATTTAATATAATTATTAATCTTGATTAAGAAAATCTAGTTTAAGATTTATTCAAATAATAGCTTTAAAGTACCGTAAAAGCAGAGTTTATTAAAATAAAAATTAGAATAGATCTTTATACTATTAAGTATTTAAACTTAAAATATATAACTAATTTTTCAATGATAATTATTAGACTATACTAGTTTTTTAGTAAATTTTAGAATAATCGATCCCAGTACTAGTTTTTAGTATTTATATAAATTTTATTTCTAATATTAAAATTTATAAATTAATACTATTAGTTAATTATATGTCTAAATTTATTAGGTAGTATATATATTTTTCTTTATTAGTTTTTATATCTATTTTATATAGCAGGCTAGGACTCAAGCTTAGTATTAAATAATAATATTTATAATAAAAATTTAAGAAGATATTTAATTAAATAAATGTATAACTTATATTTTTATTTAATTATAAAGAATAATAGTCCTATAGATTTCTAGGGTAGGACTATATAAATAAAATTAATTAATAATAAAAAGTCTAATTAGTTATTTTAATAATAATTTATGAAAGAAATAAACTTTTACACTGTATACTGGTTAATAGTTTTGATTTATTAATTTAGAAATAATATATTATTCAAAACTTGAATTTTATTTATAGTATGTAATATAGTTTATCGTAAAATTTTAATATAAATTATTTCTTTTAATTTAACATAATTATATAAAAAAATTTAAATTAAAAGAATATATATTCTAGGAAGAGCCGGGCCATATCTTATCTATATATAATTTTTATATATAATATTAAGAAAATTTACTTATTTAATTAGTCTACTATAATAAATATAATATTAAAATTATAATAGTCCTTTAGGAATATCTAAAAGTCTATTAATAAATATAATTATAAATAATCTAGAATTAATAAAGATTATAAAAATTCTAGAAAAAAGTCTTATCTTATATTTTTCTACTTATAAATTAAATAATTATTTAGATAATAATATATATTTTAAGTCTAAATATTCTAGTAATATTAGTATTTTATAAGATCTAGTATCTTTATTCAACCTAGATAAATAAATAATAATTAATAATAAATTTTATTTAATAATTAAATATATATCTCTATTAACCAGAACAACTAATAAAGCATTAAAAACTATAAATCTATTTTTAAAATATATTCTTTTTTATTATAATAAGTTTATTACTAGTCAGGCTCTAAGAAGATAGAATTCTAATTAATTATTTAAAAATAATTTATAATTTATAAGTGTTTCTCCACAGGAGTAAAAACTATTAAAAATTTAAAAATTATTAAAAAAATATACTGTATTCTCTAAATACTCTAGAGATAATAAAATTTATTTATAATCTTATATTAGAAATTACTTAATACTATTTTTATAAATTAATATATTTATTAAAATATTATATTTCCCAGGATAGAATTAGATTAAAAAATAATATTAAAAAAAATCCAATTTGTTATATTCAATAAATATTTAATTTTTTCATACTTATGAAATACTTTAAAACTTAATCCTTAATTAAAATACTAAAATAATATATATATTAGAGTGTTTTTAGCTTTAGTTACTATTTTTTTAAGATATAAATAATTACTAGTAACTCTTTAAGATAAATATTATAATTATATTTTATAAAAAATATAATTTTAAAATAATGATTTATTAGATATTAGGCCCTATTTACTAGCTATAAACGTCTTTCTATAATGATTTTATTAATAATATTTATTTTAATATAAATAAGAAATATAGGATTATAATAGATAAAAATAATAACTAAAACTAATATTTTCTTAAATATTATAGAAATTTTAGTATAGATATAATCCTAGTAAAAAATAATATTTTTTTACATTAGTTATATTAAAGATTATATTATTTTATTATAAATTTGAGTAAATCTTCAGTAGAAGTTATAAAAATTTAAAAATAATTAAATTTTTTAAATGTTTATCAAAATCTTTTATTTAATAAAAACAATAATTTTTATTAAATTTATTTGGATACTATTAGTGGCAATAATAAATTTAAAAAACTTAATTTTTATAATATAAAACTTATACTTATAAATGGCAGCTTATAAGCCTATAATTTATGATTTTTAAAATATTAAATATATGGAAACTTTAGTTTGTTTATAGACTTTTTTAATAGTATTAAGTAAGGTAATAAAACTCTCTATTTTAAAAAATTTCATATATTATTAGAAGCCAGCTACTCTAATAAAAATCATTTTTTATATAAAAGTTTAAATAGAATAGGCTTTAGTTTAAAGTTTAAATGTTTTTAAAAAAAGATGATATTAATAGTTTTTTCTCTCTAGATTATATTTTATTTATACTAGGACTTTGTATAGACTGATTTAATCAATATAAAAAAAATTAATAATAATTATAAAAATTTTAATTATTTATTTTTTAATAATATCTTATAATCCCTCTAGAATATATCTTGTTAATACTTATAGTTTATTAGGAATTATTATAAGATAATTTCAAGAATATTTATAAGAAATCCAGCTTTTATCTTTTTCTTTAATATTAATTAATTTAATTAGATTAGTCGGCGATTCTAGTAGTCTAATAAAATATTATATTTAAGAAATTATATTTTTCTAAAAATAATACTATATTTTTTTAAATCTAATGTAAGAAAAAAATATTCAGAAATTAGTAGCTATTAATTATAAGATTTAATTAGATTATATATATTAGATTAGTAGTTTATTTTCTATTAAAACTTATAACTAGAATTACTGTTTTTAAAAATAATATTAAAATTATAAAATATCAAAATATTTTAATAATAAATTAAATATTTATTATTGAGCAAGTATTGGCTCTAAAACCAGTAAGTATATAAATAAAAATAATAATAATATCTTTAGAAAATAGAACAATAATTCAAAAATTATTACTATTATTGTTAATAAGTTTTATAGATTTATTATATTTATTTAAGTTTCTAGCTTGTCTAGAATAAAAATCCTTTCTAAATATTATCTTTTATTAATTTAAATTTCTTTATAAAGGTTTCCAAAGTTTTTATCTATATAATTTTCTTTTTAAAATATTCTTTATTCTTATAACTGGGCTTCTTATAATAAAACTATTTTTTTATTAGTATTTTTTTAATCTTCAGGTCTATACTTAGAAATATAAATTAAAGTTTCAAAAGTAATATTCTTAGAGTTTAAAATATTAAAGAAATATAACGATTATAAGGTTCACTATAACTTCTAGTTATAATAATATTATTTCTAGCATAATTCTTTATTAAAGTTATATATAATAGATTCTTTTAGTTTCGAAAGTAATTTACTATATAGGATTTATGGTTTTTTTAATTCCAGCTTCTACCGCGAGATAAATAAAAATAAAAATAAAAATGTAAAACTTAGTTTTAATCTTAATATAAAAATTCTAGCACTAGTACTAAGCATCATAAATCTTATAAAAATTAATAAAGATAGTTTTTAAATATTTTAATATATTATTAATATTATTATAAAGATTAATTATACTTAAAGATAATTTAGATATTAAATATTTTTTTATATTACCCTCGTAATGGCTGGTAATATAAAGTTTATATATTATTAAAATAATAAATAAATTAATATTAGTATTTAATTTTTAATATATAGCTAATATTTAGTTTCTAAAGAAAATATTCTTTCCATTATTAAATAAAAATGGATTAAGGATCTTTATTACTCTCTTAAATTAAAAAGTAATTATATTTTAAGTAGTTAGGGCCTAATATATAACTTATATTATAAAAATATCTTTTTATTAATAACATTATTCTATTCTTAAGTAAAGATAATTATCTTTTAACTCTAGTAATCTTACTTATTAAAAAGATTATTACTTTAATATTTAAATTATTAAAAATCTTTAGGACTTTAAAAAAT